GAGTACATGTCCAAAAAGATGCCCTCTCAGAAGTGGGCTAAGTCCACCTATGAGAAGGAGCTCTATGTGATCTACAAGGCACTCACCTATTGGAGGTACTATCTCCTTGGGAGGTTCTTCTACGTCAGGACTGATCATCAGACCCTGAAGTGGATGAGAACCCAGCCTGTGCTCTCCGGCGCTCTGAAGCATTGGATTGAAGTCATAGAGCAGTATGACTTTGAGCCCACTACATCAAGGGCAAGTACAACAAGGTTGTTGACGTGCTGTCTTGTAGACCAGATTTCTCCGGTGCGCTGATCACAGAGTTTGGGCTTGCGGACGATGTTACTCACTCTCTGGTGGAAGCCTACCGCGAGGATCAGTTTATGTCAGAGATCATTCGCAGACTCGAGGCGAAGGACAAAATTACTTCTGCCGAGTTTGAGTTGGTCAACGGTCTGCTGTTCCTTGAGAAGGCCGGGAATAAACGTTTGTGTGTTCCCAATAGGGAGTCTTTGCGTAGTTTGTTTTTAGGTGAGTGTCATGATGCCACCGGACATTTTGGTTTTAAGAAGACTGCAGCCAATTTGTTGCAGCGGTTCTGGTGGCCCACGATGATGAGAGATGCGAAGCTGTACGTGGAAACTTGTCAGGTTTGTCAGAGGGACAAGCCACGTACACAGGCTCCTCTTGGGCTTTTGAAGCCCCTTCCGATTTCGGAAAGGCCTGGCGAAAGCCTGTCCATGGACTTCATGGATACGCTGGTCACCAACAAGAGTGGTATGCGGTACGTCTATGTCCTTGTGGATAGATTTAGTAAGTACGCTAGGTTAGTCGCAATGCCTGCAACAGCTAAGACCGAATACGTAATTAAGATGTTCAAAGAGAAGTGGGTTAGATATTTTGGACTGCCAAAATCTACAGTCAGTGACCGTTATGTGCGATTCACAAGTGAACTGTGGAAAGTCGCAGCTGCAGAACAGGGAACGCAGCTGCAAATGACATCAGGAAACCATCCCGAGGCGAATGGACAAGCAGAACAGTTGAACCGCGCTGTACAACACCTACTGAGGCATTACATCAAGCCAAATCAGGTAGACTGGGATGAGAAACTTGCTCTCATCTCCAGCCTGTAGAACAACGCGGTGCACAACGCAACGGGCGTGAGCCCGAATAGTCTGCTATTAACCTTTAAGCCTAGACTGCCCTTGGATTTCTTACTACCTGAGAACCAGCCCTCTGCTGCACCAGGGACCTTAGAGTTTGCTTATCGATACGAGCAGCTGATGCAGCAGGCTGTTAAACAGATGCACAAGGCATAGGTGGCGATGATAGAGTCTGAGAACAAACACCGCCGCCCATCCACATTTCAGGTAGGAGAGAGAGTCTGGGTCAAGTCCTCAGAACTGGGACAGGAGCACAAAATATCCCGTAAGCTCATGCGACAGTACTTTGGACCATGGGAAGTCTTAGATGTCGTTGGGGATGAACCGGATGGTCCTTCTTATGTTGTTCGCATCCTGGTCACCTACACACATATCCGGTATTTCACGCCTCAAAGCTTGCACCGTCCAAAGAAACTCATCAGTTTCCTTCTCGTCGCTCTATGCTGCCCCCAACCATGGATGGAGAGGTTGACATCGGCGACATCGTTGATCGCAGGGAGATGCCAGTTCCAAGACCGACATGCAGAGGACGTCCTCCGAAACCGAAGCTGCAGTACAGAGTTCGGTTCAGACATCACACGGATCCAAAGGAGGATCGATGGTTCACCAGGGAGGAACTGATGCAGACCGCTCCTCAGGTTGTCACCCAATATGAAAAGTCTCTGCAGAAGGGAAAGCGCCAGATCATTGAAGACTGAACTTCTCAGAAGACTATCAAAGTATGGAGAAGGGAATGCGAGGCATAGGCCCTCGATTTGCTTTATAGGGCCTATTTTTCGCTCAGTCGGCCGCCCTAAGTGAAGGCAGGCACGACCGAGGCCCTCAGGCCATTTTGGGGGTCACTACGCAACTGGGGAAATTTCAGGCAGTTGCGCAGCGCCAGTTGGTTGGAAGCGCCCAGGCCCAGGCTGCCGGGCCTGTTGACTTGGATTGAGGCTCAGCCTCCTTGGGCCTACCAGAAGCTTCTGGGTCGGGGCCCAGTACCGCAGCACAGCACTCAGCAGCAGACCACTTCGATATAGGGAAGGGCCTGCCTACGCATTGGTCATTCGGGCACTGGATGCTTTGTGCGCAAGCGCTGCTGCTCTACCGCCTGCCAGCCTCACGCGCTCACGGGCGAGCTGGAAGGAGCAGGCAGCCATAGCCGATCTGCGCTGCTGTATGCTGGATGGGGCGCATAGTGGTACTTGGGTGCAAGTGGCATCTGTGAGTTGGGGAACGAGGTTGTGAGTTGGGCATCTGCCATTCGTAGTCTGGGCGTCGAGCGCCAGATAGGATATCAACATTTGTTCTTCGTTGATGATGATGAGACTATTCCAGCATTGTCAATTATGAGCTTTTGGTGTGCTCTTATTTGGTGAAACTCGTAATGCAATTCTGCTTTTGGTTCGAGGTCACAACTATCTGGTCTCATGTGTATGATGTTGTTTGATTGCTGAAGTTCGCTATTGCTCATCTTCCTTGCAAAGTACAATAATATACATTTGAAAAAAGTTCGGGGATAAGCGGTTTCAACCGCTGCAACAGGCCTCAGGTATGCACCCGACTTCCTCCTCCCTCCGCTGCTTCTCTTCTCTCTTTCTCTCTCTTTGTGTCTCTCTTGATAGTCTACTTCTCTCTCCCTCTCTCTCTTGCACTGTTTGTCGTTCAATGCTCCTCTCTTGACGTCCTAGATCTACCCTGAATGCTACTACTGTTATGAACTTGGTTGTCTGACGAATTTTGTCGCCACTCACACACAGACAATCTCACACATGCCCATACATGCATAAGAGAAGGGGAGAGAGGAGACAGAGTCCACACTGCACACAGATGAAAATAAGCAGCGGAAGAGGATCATGCACAGGTGGGGAGAAAACACAGAGTGTTTCTCACTCTCTGACACACT